GACAACTTGAAAGCAGTATCTGCCACGTAGAGTTTGTTCTAACTTGACAATTGAGGTGACTATCCGTGTTAGCTTATTGGAAAAGGAATTGAGGAAAACAAACCTCATCCTAATAACACGAGGTAGTTTTGTAAGTTGGAGCAAAGTGTCCACTAAGAGGAGGCTCCCACCCTCCCAGGGTATGAGACTATCAGGAACTAATAGTCCCTAAGGAGCGGTCTCCCTTGATGTTTGCATTTTGAAGGGATGGCTTCTGGGTTCTTAAGACATTTCTGGGTCCTAAAGCTGGAGAAGAGTGGGTGGAAAGGCCTATCTAGGGATGCCTGGGTGGCTCAGTCAGTTAAGCATCTGCCTTCAGTTCAGGTCATGATCCCAGAGTCCTGGGATCGAGTCCCACATGCGCTCCTTGCTCCTCTCCTTCTGATAGAAAACTAAATCAACTCCTTTTAAGGTCACTGTTGATAACACTAAACCATTACCTAATATTCAACAGTATACACTCAAATCCGAAGCATTATATGGAACATGCTTCTCCCTCTGCCTGCTGCTCCCCCTGCTTGTGCTCTCCCTCTCTCTGATAAATAAATAAATAAAATTTAAAAAAAGAGAAAAGCCTATCTAGTTTTGAAAGGCATGCATTTTAAAGAGATTAGCACAATACCCTCTAGTTCCATCCACGTCGTTGTGAATGGCAAGATTTCAATTTTTTTTTATGGCTGCATGATATTCCATTGTATATCTATACCACATCTTCTTTATCCATTCATCTGTCGATGGACATCTGGGCTCTTTCCATAGTTTGCCTACTGCTATAAACATTGGGGTGCAGGTGCCCCTTTCGATCACTATATTTGTATCTTTGGGGTAAATACCCAGTAGTGCAATTGCTGGGTCATAGGGTAGCATTATATGGAATAGAATTATCCAATATACCTAGAAAAGGGGCTCATAATTCCTTGTACTAGCCCTTATAACAACCTATTTTACCAGTAAAAAAGCCAAATGGAATAGGTTGGAGAGTCATTCAAGACCTGACAGCTATAAATAATAATGTGGTGTCTCAACATCCAGTGGTTCCAAATCCACATATCTTGCCCCCCTCAATTCCAGCCAACATGCATTACTTTTCAGTGATATATTTGTGTAGCACCTTCTACACTATTCCTGTAGATAAAGATGGTATCTTTTTTGCTTTTACATGGGAAGGCTGACCACATACGTGGACAGTTACAGCGCAAGGTTCTGCTGAGAGTCCTACTTACCTTTCTCATAATCTCAGGGCTGATCAAGCTGGTGTTGAATGCCCTAATGGTCCTACCTTAATTCAGTGTGTAGATGACTTGCTTCTGTATTACAAAGCTAAATTAGACTCCCAAAAGGACACTATTTATTAAAGCAATTGGCTGCTAAGGGACATAAGGTCCTTCCCCTTCCCCCTTCCTTTTCAAGGGCCTCTATTAGGGAGAACTTTTCAAGAAGTATTCCCTATTGGGGCACCTGGATGGCATAGTCAGTTGAGCATCTGGCTCTTGTTTCTGGCTCTGGTCATGATCTCAGGGTCGTGACTCTGCTTGCGTTTCTCTCTCCCTCTCCCTCTGCCCCTCCCACCTTTGCAAACTCTCGCTCTCTCTAAAAATAAATCTTTTTTTAATATTTTATTTATTT